TGTATAGAATGATTCTATTGAAGTTATTCCTTTTTTAAATGTTTTAGACGAGTCACTAATCACTTTAAAATAGTGATTATAGCTGATTTAACTTACAGACATGAGATTGATCTTCTCATGTCACTCTCTTTATACAATGATATAAATTCATCCCCGTTTTATCTACAAGGCTACTTGTATTGTTTAAAATAATGTCAGCAGGGACTGTTGGGGCTTGGGCATTTTCACATTGTCAAAATCTGGCCCTCTTTGAAAAAGTTTGGACTCCCCTGCTATAATGCATCTTATTGTAATCCACATGTCAATCCCCAACTATCAGCGCCCCAGGAGGCTGCAGCAGCGTGGTGCGTTTCCTCACCTTTCTCTGCGTTTGTACAGTTGGAATTGTCTGAGCTGCCAAACCTTGTGACAAAATGTGTCGAGGGAGACCCCCCCCCTCTCCCCTCTCCCCTCTCTGGCATCATGTGTATGTGTGTCACTCCTCCCTACTGGCCTCAAATGCTCAGAGTGGTGTGTGCATGCATGTGTGTGTAAGTCAGTAAAATAAACAGTAATCCCATTTGAGCTTTTGTTTCATTATACTGTAGTAAAACCCAAAACTTGGCATCGTATTTTTTTTCTCAAATTCCCTTAAATGCAGCGCTTCTAACTGTTTTTGTTCTTTGTTCTTTTGAGAGTTGAGGATGGTGATTGGGCTATTTTAAATCAACCTCCTCTATAGTAGAATAACAAAAGCAAAAGGCAAGAAAGCCTTTTCTATTTAGAGGTGTAGGAGAAAGATTCTGCAAGAATGACTACATTGAATTAGTGTTTGTTGGCACATATTAGAAAGTGACTCTTGGCCCATGTTTGTGTGTTGTCAGGTGGTGGACCTGTACTGGGGCGCGGACCCAGAGGAGTGGGACAGTCCGGAGCTGCAGCGACTCAGGATGAAACTCCTGGAGGAATGTCTTAAGACCTCAGCGGGACCATGTTTTGTTGTAAGTATTGCAGCAGGTACACACAGGATTCAGTTTAACAATGTAATGGATTTTATTTAACTGTTGGGATGTTATCACATCGCTGTGCATCCAGGAAAATCCTCTAAAAATCAGTGTGTCCCTCTCCATCTCATTACATGGCTCTGATATGGCATTAAAGCTGGATTGTTCCCAGGCTGTTTGCTTTTGAAGATCTAATAGCAGCGTGAAACGACCTTATAAAAGTGAAATAATAATTCCGAAAAATGACGCTTGAACGTCAGCAGCGTTTGAAGTCCTTTCTTCCGTCTCTATTCTGCTGACAGTGGATAAATATACGATGTAGAATCCTGCTTTATCTCTTTTTCAAACACGTGCAGTTTTTTGATAAAGGTTGATTGAGCTTGGTAGGGTTGTGAAAACGCCAAAAACTGCATCACTTCAGTAAATAATTTTCATTCATTTTACCTGATGGGTCAGCAGCAATATTCAAACAACTTCACAAGCGATATCATCTTCACTGGAGTGCAAAACGAGGAGAAAGTCTCTTATCTTGGGCAGGCTTATTGAAAAGTCCATGCAAAGCTAAAATTACATTTGTATGAATGAGTTATGTGAAGACCTGTGCAAGGGGGGGGGGGGGAAGAGTGGCATGACGCATAATTAGGGCTGACATTTGAGTGATCTTTTTCAGATAATTTTAGGCCACATAAAGAAAAAAAAAAGAGTCAGGCACAAGGAAAGAAAAGGACGAAGATAGGAGGGAAGAGGAGGAAAAAGACGGGAGGAGGAATTGATGGTAAATTATTCAAATGGAACAGATCAGTTTCTAGAGGTTGAAATTGAGGTGAGAGATCACAGGGAGACGTAATGCATTATGGGTAGGGGACAGGAGCCCAGTTCTCCAGGGAACCTAATCTCTTTCCCCAGACTGAGTCTGGTGTTTTCTTCTTCTTCCACCCTGCATGCACTGCTCCGTCCTTCCTCTCTCATTCACAAGTCTCACTCAGTCAAACTCACTTTTCACTGCAAAACACTTGCAGCTTAATGAGTCATTCTAGCTTATTTCCAGGACGTTTTTTTTTCTATTTGACATGAAACAAAGTGCGTTCAAAGCTGATATTCAGCATCAAGGCTCCAAACTCATCACTCCTCGCGAGCAAACAACCTCAGTGGAGTTTGTGGACACTACTAAGTGCAGTATTGCAACATTAGCTCCAGAAAAGGCTATTATATGGGTTGAATGAAGCTTGCACTGTGAAAAACAGCAAGAAATATAACACATGCGTGCCAAATAACGCTCAAAATTAGGCAGGACACTGACATCTTGAATAGGCCGCCCTCTACCCAAAGGGTGCGTTAGATATATACGTACCAGCAGCTAGAGTATGGCATGTGAATGTGAGTGGCACACATGAGTTGTTTGCCTGAACTTCAACAGGTTGCAGTGCCATAAAACATTTACATTAATGTATTCCTAAATATTGGTGTTATATATTGTTAATATTTCTTGCCACATTTTCTCTCAGTCTAATCTACTGCGCGTGCACGCTTTATCTCTCCCAGAGGTGCCTTAATATTGCAACCATTTCTCACAAATATTACTTTGAGAATTGACCCCTGCGCTTTGAAAAAGTTTGCTGATGATGTCGGCAGTCTTGAAGATTTGCCTTCAGTACTTTTTTGTCCTTGTGTGCTCATGTGAAATTTGACGTCGCGGTCTTTAAAGCTCATTGAGACGTTGTGTGCGATATTAGGGCTGTACAATGTGAGCCCAATCAGGCTAAACTGCCCTGAAACTACCAGCTCCGAGTTGAAAAGAAGTTACGCACTCTCCGCTTTTGTGCCGCCGGCTCGGTGTTTACTGCGGTGTTGATTTCATTCATTCCCCGTCGGCCTCGCCGCCCTCCGTCCCTGCTGCAATTTCACCATCTTAACCCGGACTGACCCCAAGCAATACCACACAAGCAGGCACACAGGAACTCGGGTACGCACACACACACAGCTCTTTGTTCAGCCTCCCTCTGATCCGTCTTTCTTCCTCTCTCTCCCTGCTTTCCAAACACACACACCCACACGGTGCGCATACAAACAGAGCATCTTGACCCGAGGCATTCTCTCTGTCATGAGATTGAGAATCGGTTGGGTTGTGACTCTCGGTGATACAGACCCTTTACACCCCGCACACACTCGAGAGAGAGAGACACACACACACAAACACGTCCTCCCCATCTGGCTGGTTAAATCTTTAATGGCGCGTTCCACTCGTCCATCTCTGTGGTGAATGAAGGGTTTTATGCAGAGGAGGCCACATTAGCTCCACAGAATGAAGTCCCATTCAGACTTGTCAGAGACAGCTGCCTTTAGTCCCTGCGGCCCGGCTCCCGGTTTCCAGGACCGGGGAGCTACGAGCGGCAGCCTTGGGTTCTTTGATCAGGGACTTGGATCCCCGTTTATGACAGTTCTGGGTTGTCTGGGCCGTCTCCGGAGAACCGTTGTTTATTTTTACGAGGTGGTAGACCTATATATATATACAATTGTACAATCAGTCACATGGCAGTAAGAGGGGACTTCAAAGAGCAGCTGATCTGGGGGTCTGCAGCGCATAACAACTGTCACAAAGCCCAGTGCAGGGATCAGAGTGAGAAAAAAAAGGGATGAACAGAAGAAAAGAGAAGGAAAACATTACATCTGTATTGATTATTGGTGTAAAATAGAGGAGGTGGGGTGCGTTTCTGTTGCAGGAGGAGACAGTTAAAGAGCGGAGGAGAGTAAAGGAGGATGGGAGCTTGAAGTTGGAATAACAGGTTCCCCAGAAACACTACACAGGAAACAGGATTGGCTTGCGTAGTGTAGGTGTGTTTCTTGCTGCCACAGAGGATCTGTGCAACAACTAGAAACCTCTTTATACTCCTTTTGGCACTCACATCTCTCCTCGTTCACCTCTACGAATCAGTCAGTGCTGTGCCGTGCTCGAGAAACAAAATAAGAGCATCGATGTCTAGACTAACCTCCACATCTCCTTCCTGTGTTGTAAATTCCACGTGAAGGCAGACAAAACGCTACGTCACATCTCCACCTGATCACTGAGAATTAAATATCACTATTTCAGATGACGTGAAAAAATGATCCGTGAGGGAAATTACAACTATATAAAAAACAACACGTTTCTTTTCTTTTAGAGGGCATGTGTGACCATCAGGATTTAGAGTTGTCTTAGTTCATGAGACAGAGCTGCTGTATAACGAGCTTTGGATACGTCTTTCTTTATGAGCAGGAATCAATCGCAGCGAGTGTTTTACAAAGGGCACGGCTGAACACATGACAGGTGGCAGTGCAGGGTTGCTAGATACACACACACACACACACACACACACCTGGGTGAGGGTGGGCTTTTCCTCTAACCTGTCGATGCAATAAAGCTGGTTTCCATGGCGATCACAGGGGTTGGCATGGTGACAGTGTCATTGACCCGGAGATTAAGCATGACAATGAGCCATGACTGCTCTTCTGCTCTCCGACGGTCTCAAATTCCCTCGTGTAAAAAAAACACTAAAACTTGATAAATGCCTCAAGGATGAGTATCGGCAAACAGCGCGCGGACGCTCGTCCGGTTCTTCTGCTTTTTTTTACTCTCTCCGTGTTGCAGGTTTGCCGCGTGTAAGAGGATAGTAGAGGATACTGTAGCTCTTATTTTCTCTCTGCCTCTCCTCCATTCATTTAGCATGATGTAAGACCTCTCATCTTCAGGGGAAGTTGGATATTCAAAGCAAATAGTCAGTGCCTAGAATCCAGCAAAGAGAGAAACATGCAAGAATTGAACAAAAGACTGACTTATTTGAATGTGGAAATTGCCTGTGTTCTTGAAAATTGCTGTAGTTCAAATAGTGTAATTTGGCAAGTCTGAAGCTTTGTTGCAAATCCATACAGCTCACTTATTTGAACTTTTCAAGTGTGCTGTCGACAGACACAATAAAATTCACAAATAAAATAGAGGAGCTGCTCACAGCTGCGGAATAAATCAGGTGGTGTGTGCTAGTGAGACAGCTCCTGATCTTGAAAACATAAAAGGAAAATAAGTATTGATTCTACGCAAAAACATTTTTATGTTATTTTTCATCAATAAATCGTGTGAAATGACAGAAACCGTCATCTCTTCATACCCAATACTTGTTTGACTTCCTACAGCCTCAATCCCATTTGTTCCCACTGAAGATGTAAATCTTTAAGAGCAATTATGTAAAAGCTCTGTAGCGGTGGATTATTACACATTTTCTGATCATTGATTTTTAACAGCTTTTGGACAACAACATGCTATGGCACGAAGGACGGCAATACTAATACTTTTCTGACAATAATAAAATATATAGAATTGACCAGCCTTTTTCTTACAGAGCACTTTGATTTATTGTACTGCAACAACAGTATAAATTACAGCAAACTGTGTGATATAATATCAGTTTGTAGTGAGGTTTTGGCTCACTGCTCTGTGAGTGAGCGCGCATGTCTCTGAAACTTAAATATTTCTCTGTTCAGATCATCGGTTTCTTTTTAGAGGCGTTCCTCCCTCTGCACTGCCAAAGCTTACGCAGCAAATATCGGAACAGTTGACTGTGTGTTCCCTTGATTGATTGACCCTGTGAGTGTTTGATTTGTTGATTCATACTGTAGCTGTGTACGATATCGGAGACGCCTCTCCCAACTGGCTCATCAGATAAAGTGCACTTAGCCAGAGTATAAAACCCAGAGGAGGGAGGCAGGCAGAGGATAGCGTTTGGACGCTTTCTGCTTTGCTTATTGTCACTTTAGCCTCCTATGTTTCTTGCACCTGCGGCTGCTAAAGTGTAATAAGAACTACTACCTCTCGGTCCACACATAGGAGTGAAGTTCTGCTGTCTGGAGATCACGAAATGTTAAAACCACCCGGCAAATATTTGGACATCTTTTACAGTTTGGCCTTGGTAAGTTGGGGGGGATGACAGAAGTGACAGTGGATTACATTAAGTGGAGTGCTGTGTGTGTGTGTGTGTGTGTGTGTGTGTGTGTGTGAGTGTGTGTGTGTGTGTTAGCATTAGCATTAGAACATTACAAGCTCTGCGAATGGTTTGAAATGGTATTCACTTCCTGTAGTTGGCGTAAGAATGTCTTGTTTGTTGGTTTCACATTTCTGGTGAGAAAAGCTAAAAATGAAACTTATCTTTCCGCATTTTGGAGAGCAAATGTATGCAGTTAATTGTGTCCTTTTTTTATTCTGAGCTAAATGGTGCACCTGTCACTTGAAACAGTTTGTTTTTGAATGTAGCTCATGACCGCTCCTGTCAATCGCAGCGGAAGATAGCGAGCAGCCTGCCCTAATTATCTATTAAGCTCTTTGTTTTGGCAGGAAGGGAACGCAGAGAGTTACATACAAGAGGGAATCCCTTTCCTTTCTTCCTCTATTTTGTACTTTCTGTCTGACAGATAGCTTGGCTCATGTTCTGTACTTAAAGTCGCACTATTTTCTTACGAGGCTTCTTGCTTTATTGCATGCACTTGAATATTCCAGTCCTTTTACTATTCAGGGGATTAAAAAAAACTTTGTTTTTCACCCTTCGGTGCAGGATACATACATTTAATGTGTTGTTCCACTGCATAAGTGGGTCGGCGTCATGTTTTATAGAATGCGAACGATGGGTTTGGATACAAAATGCAATACCCAACCTTGAAAATTACACCTCCTCCTCCAAAACAGCTGATACTGTACATGGAAACTATCTTCCAAATCCCCAAATAGCTGCAAAAAGAACCTTCGGTATCAAATGTGTGCAACAAGGCCACAAAGCTGCATGTAAAACGATTCCGCCACCGGGCATTGCTGGGTTTTGAGAGTGTGCTCTCCTGCAGACCATGCCACATGCCATCATCTGATTCCTCTTGTTCTCTGCATCTGTTCCCGTTGCGAATGCCAAGGGAGCGAGGAGCCCAACATGGAATGGCTTTGAAGCGTCATTGCCCCGAGCGCACCAACGTAGTTTTCCTGCTCATCGGAGCTCACAGTCATTTGGCTTGTCCCTCACTCGCTGCGCGTCTTCACCCCGAGACTTCGACTGCATGTGAATTACGACACATGGAGTAAAGATCAGCTGGTCATGGAGCGGAGGATTTCCAGTGATTTTTTTTTTTGTATTTTTTTTGCCCTCATTCTCTGCGAATGTGACTGATAGAGCACATTAGGGATCGAGCCAAGAAACGGCCCTGATCATATCCTGAGGTACCTGTCACTCAGAAGCATGTGCGTAGATGCCGAGGGGGAGGAAGGGAGACTCATTGGAGCTTACAGTAGATACGCCATGTGGAGTGGAAGATAATAGTGGGATGAAAAGGCCACTATTTAATTTGATGATGTCTAATCATGCAGCTGAGTGTTCTAGTTCTCTGGCTGAGACGATATGGAGAGCGATTGCCGGTATTAGCTTTGGTGAATAAGACTGTAGATGATGGTGTCGGCGCCCGTGACGAAAATAACATTAACTTGGAGTACAGAAGCACAATTAAATCAAATTTCACGGTATTTGACTCTCACAAATCTACATTGCTCACTTTAATTAATGCATTCACTTCCTTTTCATTTAAAACAGTCCCATCTGTTCTATATAGGAAGCAAATCTGCTCATTCGCTTAATACTACTGATTACTGGGCATTAGGGAAATTTGGCCACGGCTGTGTATTTTATATAACAGCGTGTCATCCAAATATTTGCCGAGAAGCAGCAGAACAAATCTGCTTTTTCTTACGGAAAACAAAGAATTATTCAGCCTGGGTTGGTATTGGACCTCAGTGGTTTAGAGGTAATTATTAATTAATCATATATATCCTTATTCATATCATACTTTTGTTTTAAAAAGTATCATTTTGATATCAGCGCTGTAGCTCGTGATGTGTAGCCCAGTCAGTTTGTGTCTTCCTTTTGAAAATGACTTGCGGCCTGTTGCTTTGTCACTCGTGTGAGAATGCAATTTTCTGTCTTTTACATATCGTCATGTTGTGATATTTGTGCGATAGTGTGTGGCGGGCAGGTGGCATTTTCACTGAACAACCACAGTCTTTATCTCGCTTGAGCATGAATGTTATTTTTAACACTTGAACGTTAATGTCTCTATGTGGGAAGAGGGGTGCAACACTTTCATATTTAAATAGTACACTGTACATATGAGGCTGTAAAGCAATTTCCATCCAAGAGAGAGCTGTCAGTAGTGCACACACAGAGTGGGGAATCGTGGTGGCAGTTACGACCCTGATGTCACAATTTGGCTGGTGGATGTCCCAACTGCACCACAGTTGCGCCTGTGGCTCTGAAATTGCCTTAAATAAGTCACACTGTGTGCATCATTGACTCTGGAATTCACCCTGCACCACTGGTCAAAAAAAAGTAAAAAAGAGCCCTAAAACAGTGTGAAGGAACATGATTATACACATTTGCTGTCGCCCTCTTTCTCACCTTCCCTGCCCTCTATCTCCCTTTCCTTCCTTCCCCCCTTCAGGGTCTGGTGGGAGAAAAGTACGGCAGCATCCGAGTGCCGGGGGAGGTGGAATCAGCGGAGTTCGAGATGATCTTGGATGCAGCGGTGGAGGCGGGGCTGGACACACACATCTTGGAAGAGTGGTACTGCAGGGATGAAAACTCTGTGCCACCCGCATACTACCTCAAACCCAAAGCCCAAATGCTTAAGAACTACCAGAACTCTGTGAGTCCGGCTAACATGATACCACTACAAAGGGCAGAAAAGGGATTTGTCTTCCTGATTATTATGTTACCCACATGGATGTTACCAAATGGAGGTTTTTACAGTGCCGATAATGGATTCTTGTCCTTGGGATCAGTGCTTCATGAATAAAATGATCCTTGAGCAACGTATTTTATATGCACATGCAGAAAAGAAAAGCAACTTTGTCTCAGGCAGCTCTCGAGCCCTTATGAAGTGCTGCGCTTTACGGTTTGCCAAAAAAACAGTTTTACGTGCAAATTACCGCAAAGTTAATTTATACAAAACTGTTTCAACCTTCGTATATCTATAGAGATGACAGAATATCTGGATGAGTTTTGTTTAAAAAAAAACTGCGTGATGATGTTGCTGAGTTTCACTTTAGTCATAAAAACATGTGCATTGTTGGCCAGCGTGGCCCTCAAACACACTTTAGGATGCTAAAAACATTACGATATGACAGTTTCGTAAAATATCTCAAATTCCCTTTTAGATATCATCACTCAAAAGAAATCAATCATACCAGTTAAGATTTTCTCAAGCGATCCGGCCCATTTTAAAATGAATGCCTCTCACATGAAACATGAACAATATTCCCTTTGTTGCAGTATGCTTCCGCACAGTACTTGAATAGCCACGTTCCCTCAGTTCCTATTTAAGCTGTGGAGTCAGACTGTCCCTCTTCCCTGCTCTCCGTCCTGCCTAGATGGAGTCAAGCAGCGCAGCCAAGACCAAGAATGACAAAGCCTGGAGGAACGTGTCGGAGGAGATCAAGAGGATCTTCCGAACGGCGGTGCTGCAGCTTCAGGAGAAGGGGACCATGAAGAGCGCTCAGGCCAACAAATTCCTTTGCTCTGGTTAGTTTCAGGTCGACTTCTTCTTGCTTTTTTCATCTTCATATGTCACATCTTTTGAAATAGAGAAAGCTTCTGCTGAGAAAAAAATGATGATTTCTTTCAAAATATACCATTAATTCTTTAGGAGGATACAAATCACGCAGCAAAGGTCATATATTTAATGAGTGAGGCCGCTGCGTAGATCGTCATCTTGTCACTAAATTGGTAACAAGAGATGAGATGCAATCGGGATCTGTCGGACTCAGCTCAGCAGATGACGGTGATTGATCGATCGATCCGATTTTATGTTCACCTCTCGGTCATTAATCCAAACAGTGTTTTGCAAATGACAGGTGAAAGCCTGAAGACCCTCCCCTTTTTATTCATGTTTTTAATTGTTATTATGCAATAATGTCAGTGGTTATCAGGCGGATTATTGAGGAACAAAACCACCATTTGCCATTCATTGTGGTTCATTGTGGTTCCATTAAGATCAAACATCAAAACAGAGATTCGAGTAAGAAAACAAAACGGTTATCCTCAGATTTTCATACCTCTGCTGGTGTAAAAGCTAAAGGACGATTCCTCCCACTGTTTATTTTCCCTCTGCGAGGTTTGATTGCTCCGTATCAGCTCCTGTGTGTAACAGACTCCACAGAGGAATCACCCAGTTATTACTGAATTGTTTGGAGAGCGTTGAATTAATCTTTCAAGACATCTCTTTTTCTCAGACTGTCACTGAGGTAGATGATCTCTAAGCAATATGCCATCTGAGTCTGATGACAGGTCCCGGCTTTACAGGCCTGGCCCTGTTCTGATAGAGCAGGCACAAGATGTAGCGTTTTTTTTATGGAAGGAAATAAAGAATAAGCTAATTAAAGAATTGCAAGTTTTATAATTTCACATGAAAAAGGAAGCCTCTCCTTTGTGTCAGGAAACTGCACTTTTTATACACTCTAATTGGGCTTTAAGCAGCGCTTGAGGAAGTTGTGCCGTCTCCTGGAACTTTCCTTTTTCACTTTTCTCGCTCCCACCTAATTAGTAAGCTACCATGTGAGCTGAACTACACAGGAGATGCTGGCGGAATTTCAGTCAGCCGGCTCTTTGTTGTTGTTGGGGAGCCTGTGATACAGTTCAGTAGTGCTGGCTTTGTTTCCTCTAAAATAAGGCTCAAGAGAAAACTATCTAATCGGAGGCTAAAGGCTTCCAAAATCCATTCGGCTCTGCTCCTGAAAGAATTCTAAATCTTACATCTGTAAGATGTTTATCTTTGAAAGTTATACATAATAAACCAGAGGTGGTCCTTATCGGCCATTAAGTCAAAACACAATGCTGATTTGAGGCATTGTTGAGTTGAGTTGAGTCGAGGACGACGTCTAAGTTGTATTTTTCTCTTATTTCAGCCTTGGAGGATGAATTAGACTTTGCCCTTGGGAAACAAACTCCTGCCTTTCTCAGGAAATGTGTCTGCTACATTCGCAAGATCGCCAACTTCGACCGCTTCGCCAAAATCCCTGACATGACCCGCTACATGGACATCGTGGTCAGCGGCGATCGCGTCATGCGCAACCAGGAATCCTACGAACGCCTTCTGAAGATACGGGACGAGTTCATCCCCACAGTCGTCGCTGCCTCCAACCTCCGCGTCTACTCTTCGGTCACCCACTGCGACATGAAGTTGGGCTACTCCCAAGAAGTGGAGAGCAACTATGTGGAGGGTCTGTGTAAACAGTTCTACGAGGACATGGTGGATATCATTCAAGCCACCGTCCAGCAGAACTTGGGCACGGAGACGGACCCGCTGTACGACGAGATCCTGCAGCACCTGTCGCTCTGTAAAAGCTACGCTGAACTCTACCAGTTCAAGACCGAGTCGTTGGATTACATACAAGAGTACCTTCTGCCCTCCAAGGGGAGCAGAATGAGCCCTCTGGTGGTGTACGGGGGACCTTGCACTGGGAAGACACTGCTGCTATCCGAGGTGGCCAAACAGGTGAGACATGACGAGCAGTATGTTTTGAAAATTACGGTGTTATCTTTCTCCTTTTCGTGTGATCCCCGCCCCTCCTTCTCCCTCACTTCAGCCGGCTCTCGCAGTGCGTTCACGCTTGCACTCGTCTTGTCTGTCTGATCTGAGCATGTGTCCATCTTTGTACCGCGTTGTATGAGGGGGCGTGCAACTGTTCATCTTTTCTCATCAAACGCTCGCTTTGACCATCTGCGCGTCTGCCAAAAGACAGCACACTGCCATGCACACGTCTATAATTTCCTGTCAGGCCGTGCGATCGTGTGCACTGTACATCCACATATGACTTCACGGGTTTGCTTTTTTTGTGTGTGTGTGTGTGTGTGTGTGTGTGTGTGTGTGTGTGTCTGTGTGTGTGTGTGTGTGTGCATCTGTAAAGATTTCTGCCAAGCATGTGTACATTTGTTTCTCAAAGCGAGTGTGCCGTGCGTGCGTAGATCTGTGTTTTCTGTTCGGTCTCTGGCTTTTGTGTGTGCCATCTGGCTGCCCGGGTACATTAGGATCACACCATAGCCAAGATCACACGGCACAAACCCGCAGATCTACCGCTGCTGTCCAACCCTTTGTGATAAACGTCACATTGACACATTCATGTCATCCAGGTTCATTAAATGTTACAAGGTACAATAACAGCAATGCAACAACGATCAAAGCCTCCAGTGTTAAAGATTACCACGGGCCGTACGGATGAAAGTAGAAACAACACAGAATGTACAGACGCACTCTCATAAAGCCGAGCTTAGTGATCGAGGAGGTGTGTTAGAGAACATGGACAAGGATTAAGTAACAGGACCATGTGTCTAGTTTCTAGTTATCAAGGGAGTTAAACCTCCTTTTTTAGAGCCTGGCCTGATTTCCGTGCCTTAAACTTCTTTGTTCTTTCTAGTTTTCAATACCAGGTGGATCTTTCAAAAGCATCCTTTTAACCATTTTGGCAGTCAATCTATTTCCTCAAGTATAAATTAGTTTTTGTAAACAAAAAAGGGAAAACTGCTTCCTCAAATCATCAGAAAGGTTTTTAGGTATGCACAAAAAGCTAGATATCAGTTTTGTCCGTTATTTGTTTAATTGACTGGTAATTAGAAATAAATTGTCTGTTTTGGCTCGAATAAATAAAACGATTTTCATTGAAATGATTCAAACGATTGTATCACATTTTGTACTACCACACATATTACTGCCCACACAGATTCACCTCCTGATTTATTATACAATCTTATTACACCAATACAGTCTGTGACTGGTCTGTCTAATTTTACATGTGAAACTGCACTGACTACTTTAGTCCCAAAAAAAGAGAGAGAAAAGGACCGAAATCATAAAATACTTGCTTCCAGAACCAGAAGATGTAGTTTACCCTAGATGTTGGATGTTGATCACACAGCTTTAGTATGATAATTGTAGTTTTCTGCAGTTGGCTGAAGTTTCTCACCAGCATATCGTCCTGTGTGTTAATCCCCAGCCAGTTAGTACTTGCAGCAAGTTCAGACAGAAAGAATAATAGTTTGAAATCCTATGTGGCCTCGGTGTTTGAAGGAGAAAGGGACGTTATTAGATTTGGGTGAGACTAAAAGAGGCGATGCGCTGTCCAAACAATTCCAAGGGTGAAGTGGTCTGGGGCCGCTGCGCCACAAGCTCTGTGCTTGAGTCCACAGAGTGTAATTCACACCAACCTGTTTGTTTTATCTTCTCACTTTTGAGCTCAGACCACACCAGATCTTCATATAATGCAATAAATACCAACCACAGCTTATGTGAAGCAGATATGTGTGTAAACTCAGAAGCAAAGACACAGAGTCCTCCTTATTAATCTTTTCTTATGTAGTAGTACAGGTAATATGTCCTGTTTTTGGTTTTAGTATTTAAGAAACGTCCGTTGTAATATGTACATATAGTGTCATAGGGAAGAAAAAAAGTGTACCAATATTGTTAACTTTAATTCATGCGCATAACCTGTGAACCTTCAATCTACATTACTCACTACAAACAATGACTATTTGTAAAAATATACCAATTTATGAAAGTCAAGCAGGCTGACTAATTGTATTTGAGTTTTATAAATTCAGTCATGCACACAGACATCTGTAAAACATTTATAATTGTAAATAATCTACTTACAGATTCTGTGTCGCTCTCTCTTTCTTCCCCGTCTCTCACGCATACAAACAGCTGAATGTGGAGCAGGCATCATCACTATTGCCCTAAATGTGTCAAAAAAACATCTTAATGTCTCCCCAAATCTCAGCTGGTACCATTTAATGAATTCATGAATGGAATTATAATGTCAACGAAGCCTAAACAAATTGGAATAGTGCTCATTCATAGACTGTTTCTCATGATTGAAGAAATGATTCATTTATGAATTAAATCTATGTAAGAATTACTTTGAGAACATCTGAGGCCATTTAACATGACTGAGATTTGCACATTTTTAAATGTCTAATAACAGTTAGAAATGTTGTTCAGCACACACACTGTCATAAGGTAAAATGTATGAAACCTCTCTTCCTTGCGGTGCTCATCAGCCCTGCCTCGTACTGTTAGAACAACAATTACTTAGGTCCCTCGAGCTTCACTGTAGAGCTTTGATCATTCTAGTTGTTTGACCAAACCGAGCAAAATACAAGTACAGTTTACTCACAGTAAATTTTAACAAATGTCAGAAAATGTTCTCCATTTTTTATGATTTCTATTTTTCAGATTTGTTGGGATTTTTTTATTTGATCCCCAGTTTATAGTCTCATGTAACAATCATATGTGCTATTCTAATGTGGACTATTTAAAGAACTTTGAACTAAAAATTGTACTCTACATATTCTAAAAATCATCTCTGAATGCTTTTTTTTTTCAGGCCTACACATGGCTGCAGCAAGAGATGGGCCCTGAAACCGACCCAGTTGTTATTGTCCGTTTTATTGGCTCCAGCCTGCTCTCCACAGACCTACGCACTCTCCTCCAGAGCATTTGTGAACAGATTGCAATAAACTACCGCTGCCTGATTCACTTTTTGCCTAACAAGATCCAGGAGATGAAGGAGCTTCTGATCAACCTTCTAGGGGAATCTTCATTCCACCGGCCTTTGGTCATTGTCCTGGATGCCCTGGAGCAGCTCACCGATGCGGACGAAGTTCGCAAGCTGTGGTGGCTCCCCATACATCTGCCTCGGACAGTCCGCATTGTAGTCTCAACGTTGCCCAATAAACACGGCATCCTGCAGAAACTTCGACAGCTCATCCATGATGAGGGGTATTATGTGGAATTAATCCAGAGGGACCGCAAGGTCTGCAGCCAAACATTAAAACAGCAGTTGCTTGGGGTGAAGAGAAAGGTCACCTCAGGCCAACAGATCTATGTCAATGAGGCACTTGCCAAGTGTACATTGCCAATGTTTGTCAACCTCATCTACAGAGAAGTAGTTCATTGGAGGTCTCACAAAGATGTGGACGACAGGTCCCTGTGCTCCACAGTGCACGAAAGCATAGAACAGCTCTTCTACTCAGTGGAGAACAAGTTGGGACAACGATTTGTCTTCCGAGCATTAGGGTACATCACCATGGCCAAGGCTGGGCTAACTGAGGTCGAGCTGGAAGACATTCTGTCGCTTGATAATATAGTTCTTGGTGATGTCATTGTGGCAACTTACCTCAAAAACCCCTTGAGGATCTCTTATGATTTGGTTGCAAGGCTTAAAGAGGAGCTGGATGGTTATCTGGTGGAACGTCAGGTACGTAACGTCACCTTGATGGTTTGGGCCAACAGACACCTGCATCTCATTGCCCAGAAGTTGTATCTCAGCAACGAGGAGGACGTCCATCAAATGCACAGCCTTCTAGCTGAGTACTTCCTGGGGGCATGGTCAGGAGGCAGGAAGAAGATCTTCACTTACGATAACAACCATTTCACTTCCCTGAATATATCTCATCACAAAAACCCCCATCAGTCCCATGAAAAAACGTCCTCTGACAAGTACTCCTATGACAGACAGACTCCAGAGCAGCCTTGGGTGTTCCAGTGCAATCTTTTGGAGCCGGACATTTTCTTTGTCAACCATAGGAAGATGACAGAGCTGGTGTACCACCTTACCAGGAGTGGGCGCACTGATGACCTCATGTTTGGTGTTATCATGAACTTCAGCTGGCTGTACACAATGATCAAGATTGGCCAGTTTGAAAAGGCTGTAACAGACATTGACCTAGCTTACAGCTACACCCAAGAGAAAGAACTGAAGTTCCTGGCCACCACTCTCCGTAGCATCAAAGTAAAAGTGCTGAAAAACCCAGCGTCACTGTCTGCAGAACTGCAGCAAAGGCTTCTGCCGGTTGTCACCTCCCTCCCCAAGCTCAGACACCTCCTTCTGGAGTGTGACAAAGATGGCCCGAAGTACTGCTCCATTGTGCCTCTCCACTCCTCTATGGATGTCACCTACAGTCCAGAGAGGCTTCCTCTGTGCTCTAGCTACATGCAGATTGTGGAGATCGTGCCCACTCTAGCCCCAAACATAGTCCTTGTAGCCCTCGAAGATGGGTCTGTCAGCACCTGGGATGTCGAGAGTAGACAACTTCAAAGACAGATCGACACAGCCAAATCCGTTGTGCTTGGAATCAGGCTAACCACTGATGAAAAGTATCTGGTCGTGGCCACAACCAAAAACACGTTGCTCATCTATGATAATCACAAGTCCTGCCTTTTATCCGAGGTTGAAATCAAGGGGTCCAAGCAAGGCGGTGTCACTGGTGGGGTGGCCTTTATCAATGGTTTTACTTTGTCCACCCACCATGCTTTGGCTTGGCTTGAGGCTAGTAAAGAAGTCAACGTTATTGACCTACTCTACGGTTGGCCTCTCTACCAGTTTCATTGCTGGTATGAGGTGACTTGTGTCCAGTGCTCTCCAGATGGAATGTACGCCTTCTGTGGCCAGTACCTCAACACTGCATCCATCTTTCATCTGGGAAATGGGGACAAGTTGGCCACTGTGACCTCTGAGTTTTCTGGGGGATTCGTAAAGTCCATTCTAATTCTGGACACCCTTAGCCAAATGGTGATGGTTGACAATGAAGGCAGTTTGTCAGTATGGAACACCAAAGAGATCACCAATCCACGTCTGATGGAGGATTACGATTGTAGAGGGGATGACAGTGAAGTGGTGGGCATTGAGTTATCTGAAGACCAGCGCTCCATTCTCATTTGCAAGGCCAGAAGTATCGAGGTTCTGGACACAAAAGTATGGAAAATGGTAGAGAAGTTCAAAGCCAAACGCACTGAACGCTTTGTGGCTGCTGTTCTCTCCAAGAATGGACAAAGCATTGTGGCCTCCATGGAGAACACCTCCTCCATCTTTGTCTGGAGGAGGGACAGTGGACAGTGCATGGCTAGCCTGATTGAGATCTCAGGGGCTATCGTCAAACTCATTAAATCAACCCACCACAACCTGCTCCTTTCTGTTGCCAGCAGTGGTGTGCTGTCTGTTTGGGACATTGATATCATCACCGCCATGTCTAATATTGACAAAACAGGCAAGAAGATCCAGACCTTGCAGCTGTCCGGCAGAGAGGATTATGTGTTTACCATGGACGGTTCGGAAGCTGTCCACAAGTGGAACTTCGGCACTGGCTTTATTGAAACAGTCTTTAAGCACGAGGGCATAGTGGAGAACTGTGTCTTAACCTCCTCAGGGGATCTCATGGTGACATCAGATGACAAGTCCAGTCAGTACATCTGGCAAACCACCACTGGAGAAAACATCTTTCGCATCAATGGACAGAAAATATCACAGCTGCTAATCACCCACAATGACCAATTTGTGGTGTCTCTCTGCGAGCAGAACGCCTCCAGAGTCTGGAGGCTCGGGACTGGGCACAAAGTGTGCAACATTTTGGTCACCCTCCAGAATGCACTGATCACCACAGCAAATACTTTCCTTGTGGGAAGCTCCAAAAACAAGCTCCTCGCTGTCAGCCTGTGGTCAGGCAGCGTATCCAAGAAGTTTGTCTGTGACGATGGCATTACTATTGTCAACTTCAAGCTCATTCCTGACTGCCCTGACTGTGTGGTGTTCATCACATCCACAGAGACCGTCTTCATCTGGAATGTGGCAGATGAGTCAGTTTGCAGGCGAGTCCAGCTGCCAACCAATTTCCTCAAAAATCTCGAGGACTTCCAGATCTCGCCCAATGGGAAAGTAGGAATTGTGTCCAAAGGTGATGAGAATATTAATGTCCTGGATCTTCATAGCGGGAAGCTGAGGCTTGTCCATGCTGCTGGTATAATTTGGCGTCAGAAATTATCGAGAGATGGACGTTATCTAGTGTATGTCTGTTTCCGGAGCTGCGATGAAGACGATGAGGCCGGTGTTGTGTCCAATCTGATCGTGATGCGCCTTGCTGATGGCAAGAGCATCGGCACATGCTCCCTGTACAAGACGCCCACTTTCCTGTCTCTCTCTCAGCGAGCACTAAACATCATCATTGGCTTCGAGGACGGCAGCATCGGCACATACACAGTAGTGGATCGTGTGGATGCTGCCCTCAAGATAAAGATAGCCACCTCCAACAGCCGACAGATTGTCAACAATGCCTCGCAAAAGGTGCGGCCCAAATGTGGCAACCATTCCTTTAAGACCGTTGCCGACTGCACTTGGAGGGAGTCAACCGAGGTCTTCTCCAGGGACAGCCCTATCAACGTGTCTGACTCTGGTGAGGGCGAGTCGACCACGCCTACAAAAAAGACTGAATTGCTGCAGTGATAGGTGGAGATCAGAGTAGCAGGTGGAGTTAGGACAGGCGGGTGGAGAGAGGTGACAAAGTTTTGAATCTCTGGGGTTGCAGTTGATTCTTGTTTACAGCCACGTGATTCAGCTGCAGATGTCAGCCCTCTGGGTAGTTAATGGGCCGACCGTTTAAACGCTGCACTCAAATTATGTATTACTTACTTCCAACTTATGATACAGTTTCTCTTTGTTTTACACACGAAGACTGTTAGAAAAATACTGTTTTTGAAAAGAAGAGAAATGTAAATTCTGTGAGTATTAGTTTGCCATTATGTGTCCTTTTGCATTTGAAGAACAAAGATTATTATTCAAATGTCTTGGTCAAACATTTTCAAAGCCATTCCAGTGATCTTAGCCACTTTCATTGTACACTATCTTTATTTACATTGTGCACATTAAGCCATAATGTCTAAGAGTAGATTTACGTTTGTATCAACATCAGTCGGTACTGTAGAAAAAAGGAAGAACTATGAACATATGTACATATCCCTTTATGGCTGCTGCAATTTGTGCAACTCCTTAAAAATGTTATGTTGTGCTTAATGCAATCAAAGTGAGTGCCTGGAATTTAAATGTTCTTTATGTGCAGATTACAAGATTTATGAAAATGCAGGGAATTTGTAAACACAGTACACACACACAGTTACACAACACTTGCATTGATGTTAAATCTAAACGATCAGTGTACCGAAATCCAGTCAACAACACGAGAGATCGATGGCATTGCTCTTCGCAGTGACAGTTGTAGAAATTTCTTGGAACAGTTCACGGAAATTTGGTGTGAATTTACCTGCAGTTCCATCCGTCTGTGTGCTGTTTGTTTTAAGGGGAAACACCAGTATTGAGCATACAGTGTAGCATAGCACCATACACATTCACGCCTTAACCAGTGTAATTGCTTTAGGTTTCGTGGAGTTTGTTCAAATGTGTCAGTAGAATAAAGGACAGAGTGATTAGCCCAATGTTTCACTGAAACACCTTGCTCATGTGAATATATTTAGAGGTTTAGAGAGTAGATGGAAGCACTTTATCAGTGGTTTGTGAGAAATTATTAGATTTATTTATATGAAACATTGTGTAAATTGTTTAACGTGATCTAGAGTTGTCTTAAAATAGGTACTGGATATGCCTTCAAAAATACACAAGGCCACCCTGGTACTTGCGGTCTACAGTTAACTCACTTGAAATGCTACAGTCTCTTTCTATATATATATATATATATATATATATATATATAT